CTGATTTTTTTCTTTTAATTCACCTAGTGATGGGAAATTCCTGAAAGCTAAGTAAGTCTGCCCTTCATTTTCTCCTGAAGAACTGATCTGAGGGCTGGACATCACCCCAGGCCACACAGCACGGCAGTGACAGAACTGCAAAGGGACCCCAGTTTACCTACTAGTCAGGGGAATGAACACACACCAAGTCCTTCTTTTTAGAACAGAGAGTGCTTTTACACAAAAGAACCACTGTTTGTCAACTCAAAATGGTCTCTCCTCTTGCTTAAGAAGTGATCAGGAAGTTGGCCCTGGCGAAACAGGAGATGCTAAGATCACGATACAGGCATGCCCAACTGGGATGGGACAAGCTTCAGGGACTAGGGACATTGAGCAAAGGACAGCTCCAGGGTGCTGGATGAGATACAGGGAACAGGCCAAGTCCTCACAGCTTTGATGTAGTGTAGGAAGGTGGTATTCTGATGAGGGAACAGATTAAGTAATGGCAAAGCCTGGATTAGGAGGTACTGAGAGATATGGATGGACATACACTTAGGTGTATCCAAGGATCTCTGTTAGCTAGGAGCTGGCTCTGACTCCTAGGTTGGGGTGAGGGCATAAGAAAACAGTAGATGCATAGGATCATGGCTGCTAAGGAGAATACTACCCTAGGTATTCAGAGAATGAGGTCCTAATAATTAGAACTCGAGAACAAAGTAGGCAGTTAATTTGGGGAACACTAGAAAACCTCACTTTTCCACAGAGGAGCACAAGGTCGGCCACAGAAAAGCAACTAAGCCATGGCTGGAAACCCTTGAAATGAAGAAAGTGAAATGCTGGTTAATCAGTGATGACAACATATGTGAAGGTTAAAGCCAGGCTCACAGTAGGACTCGAGTTTTTATCAGTTCCTCTCCTCTCCCCTAGGACCAACAACAGGAGGTGCTGAGATTATTAAACAAATGGGAAAACTTTTCAGCTGTGCTTGCCACATACAAGGTGTATATTCTAAAGCCTGTTCTCCCAAATACTGATTTGTTTTAGAGATCTTGACCAATATGAAATGTACAAAAACAAAATACTTTATCCATCCATGAGTTACACTATGCAGGTAATTTCAATTAAAACTATCAAAGCAGGGGGATTTTAAAAAGAAGAGTTCTCACAGTCAGTGACAGTGTTAGTGGTCCTAAGGAGCACTGGTTTTAAACATTTTCAAACTCAAACAGGAGCATCTCATGCCTTAAACCTCAGCTGTGGGGCATCACTTTATAAGTGGCTCTGAGATAAAAGCCTGGATGTCCATCATAAAGTATAAACATTTTGAAAACAGTCACAAAAAACTCTTCCCTGTTAGTGCCACAGAAGGTATCAAGTCTTCAACAATGAATGTGGCTTAAGCACAAAACATCTCATTTGGAAGATCACATACCAAATGATGGGACTGTGTCTGTGAAATAAACTTTCTTGGTATGTGATTCCACGTCATCTGGAGAGTGGCAAAGAACTTGGTGCTGTGCCAGAGAATATGGCCAGGTCTCTGAAAACATGCCAGCACAGCACACCACAGTTTGGCTTTGAACTGGAAATTACACTTCTTAAAAGCATTTTTCTTTGGTTACATACATGTCAGCACACACTCACTATTGCTCTTCAACCTACGTCTTGAGCTGGTATTTCAGAAGATACACTGCACTTGTTAATATGCAACATGTTAATGGATCCCAATGTCTGTTTTCCACTTAATCTGTCCTGGGTTTATCTGGGAAGGGTGTGTCTGGCAACTGAAGTGTGAAGCCACAAGCGACATAGCCTCCAATTGATCCTAAACAGTGATCACATCTCACCCTGGACAAATTACTATAGCCACAAGTCAATCCAACTGCAATTGTGGATAGTCAATACTGAACCTGATCCAATTTTTATCAGTCTCCCTTCTACCTCAATTCTCTATGCCCGGTTTTACATGGACAGAATTGCCATGCATTTTCTTATTATTGGGATGAAAGATTATTTTTATTGTGATCACTTAAGATGTGTTAGAGTTTCGTTCTTATTAATACTGGCTGATTTAAAAAGAATGTGTCCTTCCTAGAAATGTCAGTAGTAAAATGCATCCAATTTTTCTCTAATGTGGTGCTTTCCCTGTCCATAAAACTTACTTGATTAGCAGAACCACAGAAGCTAAGCTTTTGTATGTGGGCACTCAAGCATAATTTAATCATTTTACTTAAGCATGAAAAAAATTATTCTGAAAGCCCTGTTAGGTAAAATATCCCTGATTAGTTTAAACTTACATTTGCAGGTATATTAAAGGTGAAATAAATCACAGAATGCTCAGTATGCAATAGAATACTGTTAACTTTGTTATAAGTCGACAGGAAGTTAAAAATTGTAGTATTACAGAATGTAAGAAGTAACTATCTTATTTTAAATAACTGTATTTAAATAGGTTATTTTAAAATAAATTCTGTTCTGTGTGACCCCTTTTTATAGTACCAGGATTTTCACCTATGTAAACCTCTTTCATAGTCAAACAAGATAAGGTCCTAATTGCATAATACCATTTATCTGCAGAGGATAAAAGTGCCAACAAATGAAAATGCACATTAGGCAAGAGACTGTCAGAATACAAAATTGTCCTTTTTTATTTTTTTTATTTTTTTTTGTTTTTTTGTTTTTAAATAACCCACTCACATTAACAAAAGACTGCAATAGCTTCCAAATTATAGGTTGTTATTTTTAGTGGAAGTAGTTCAATATTCATATTGGAGCAGATGTAGCAGTTTAACAAAACAGCTCTTCAAATCCTGCACAAATTGAAAACAGGAAAACTGATTGCATTTTCTCTTATCACTTTCCTTTTCTGAATTGACACTTTTGGCCTTCTGAAAATTTACACATGGCTTTCATCTCAACAGCACCTGCTGATCAAATAGAAACCTAACATTTTCATGAAAATGGTATGAAGGACTAGTTTTGTTCTAAAAGCTGTAAAGGGCATCAGTTGCCTACTTGATGGCAATAGTTGCTGTATATAAGGCATATTCATAATAGTTTTAAATTTTCATTAAACTTTTAAAAAATGTTAAGTCTCTTCTGGTTTTACCCATACTCACTTTTTGTATGATTTGAATTTGACTCAAAGTCTGCCTCATACTTATAAGGGGGTAGATTGCATTAAGATGACACAGTTATCTCTGGCTCCACTTGAATATACACATCTCTATCTTTACATATTACTGCACATGGGCATAAAATATATATATCCCATTTTCCTATTTCACCCACCACAAGAAAACAGGAAACAAAAAAAATCAAAGTCAGGCCCAATTCTGGAAGGGGCCTTCCGTATTGTTTCAACAGATACAGATTGAGCAGGTGCTGAACCCCAGACTGGAAAAGAACAGATGTCACCCAAGCACAAGCTGGTAAACACCTGAATGATGCGACCAGCCCACTCACTGTAAATACCTCTGGAGAAGGTACATCTTGGAAATGGGTATTCTCACATGTACAACATGCAAGATAAAGTAGGCTGCTTCTCAGGTTTTTAAATAAAAGTGCTTCACGTATTTCATAGTTAACATTCTATTCTGGGTACAATCAAAGATGCTCCTAAGATATGCTACCTGTCAGTTTCTTAGCCAAAAGGACTCTAACCCTGCTGGAGGATTCCAGGCTATCCATTCCCATTCTGCCTGGGTGATAAGGTAACCTGAAGGCAAAAACAACACACGGTACTATATGTGCCACTCTGGCCAGTCCGTTTGTGAATTTCAGTGTTTCACCATGTTCACTGAGCCAAGAGCAAACCTGAAATGTCAATATGCTCAGTCAATGGAAGTGAAATAATGGGACTCTATTGTCTTCCCCAATCGATCTGCTGCTGTCAACAAGGAAACATGCCCCTGGCTTTAAACAAATTTTAATTAGGCTTTTAGTTACTGGATCATATTTACCTGTGAAATCACCTATCTTGACAATGTGTAGGAGACAAAATAATTATTTTTTTCCATTTTACCCATTTTAGGAACCTTCCAAAGTTGACCTTACGATGTTTTTTTCTTGAAATAAACTCAGTCGATAAAACATTTTTTTTACCTTCTTTTTAAACCAACTCCAAAGGAAAAATTCCATGGTCAAACCCAAAATACAAATCTACTTAACAGACTTGGAGTAATTTTGTTTTCTCTAGACCTAGATGAAACCATACTATAAAATCAACTAATTCCATATTAAAAGTAGGCTTCTTTGCCTTTCTCACTCAAGCACCCCCGTTAGCATCAATTCATCACCCATTCAAAACAAGTCACACAAAACCAAACACGAATGATCAGTTCCAACAACCGCCACCCTTTTTTGCTGAGTTCCTCCGTCCAAAACGAAATTCCTGTTAAAATCTGGCAGATGGTGCTGAGGACAGATAGGGTGCGGGTGAAGAGAAAGTAAGACACTTAAAAGTCATTCAAATTTTGCCTAAGTTTGATGGTCCTTCTTGCACCAGAAAAGAGACAGTTCTCACCTTAACATAAAAATAAAAATGAGCTAATCAAGTTGTTCAGCTTTTTCTCTCTCCTCTTCATCTAAAGGCTTCAGCGTCCAGTCAATAAATAATCTATTGTTCCCCCTTTATCGAGTCTCTTTAAACCTATTCAGACCGGCAAAACTAAACCCAATTAAAGATAAGGCCCTCCGGTAATCTCACCTCCGTGAGTCCTGTCTGGATAGCAGAGGTGATGGGAGATAGCGGCCAGGCCAGAACTGATGCCTCCTCCTCACCCCACACAACAAAAGGCAGATTTCTCTTTCTCCCTCTGCTAATCTTTAAATGTAAATTCTCTCCGCCAGCTAAGAGGAGCGACAGATAACATGTTACATCTTCACTTCTCCTGGTCTTATCGACTTCTGAATCATGTGGCAAGGGAGGGAGGGAAAGAGAAAGGCGGCCTCCCCCTGCTCCCCTTGCTCCTTCCCACCCCTCCTTCCCCCTGCTCTCCCCTCCCGTTCACGGAGATTACCTTCTGGCAAAGGAGCGCAGGAGAGGCGGCCGCAGCCGAGGCGGCACCCAGACCGCGGCTTTGTATTCATTAAACACACATCGGAGCTTATCAGAAGTAAAAGGCTTGTCAGGATGGCACATTGTGTGTGAGTGAGTGTGTGAGCGCAGGAGGGAGAGGAGAGCAGCCCACGTGCATCAGGGTGATTACAGTATCAGCAGGGCCCAGATGGAGGCAGGAAAATAAACAGAGGGTGCGTGTGAGACAGAGCGGAGAGGGAGGAAAAGAAGGTGGGGGAGACACAGGCTGGAAGGAGACCGAGGAGTGGGTGGGGGCTCGGCGCCCAGGATGGGGTGGCAAGTGGGGGCAAGGTGCCCTGAGGTTGGCTGAGGCTGAGAGCCAGGGTGGGGATCTCCTGCCTTTCCAAAACGACCACTACACAGAGAAAAAGGGAAGAATTCAGACTAGCAAACTGTATTTCCTGCTCCAGGGCTATACAGGAACATTTTGGAGGTTCTGTCAAGGTCAGAGGGGGATTCAAGTGCTCTCTCATGGCAGAGAATAACAATGAGACATTTACCATCTCACCTCCACCCAAATGGCCACAATTTGCAAAACAAGTCTAGCTGAGCCCTCACAGCAGTTACAAAGCCTTCCAGACCAACGTCAAAGGGAGTTCTTTCCCTTTCTTTTCAGACCCCAATACTCCTGAATTTCAACAAACCCCTCCTCCCAGCCCATGCATACAGATGTGGACACAGACATCAAGTATCTCCTTTTCCTGGGCTTTAATGTTCTGAACAGAGGACTTGTGTGGCCAGCATCACTGTGATAAGGACCACTTGTGATTGGTGGCTACAGGTGACTCTAAGACACCTGCTCCACCTCCAGAAACTGTGCTGGGGGAAGTGGGTTCCTTCTGTGTACATCTGAAAGTCTATTTTGGAGGTGGGAATTTGAAATTGAGGCAATCAATCTCAGCTTGAGCTGCTTCACAGCTCTTCACCCACCCAGAGCCCAAGAATCAATCAGAGAAGCAGCAGCAGGGGCTAATGCTCCTGCGTCAGACCAGAGTTCACCCTCCTCCACCCCATCAGGATCAGGAGGGAGACACACCTGAGTAGTCCCAAGGGGGCCCCTTTTCACTTCTAAATGTGCCCATCAGACAATCTGAGCATCTGATCAGATCCTTAATGGAGTGCAGATAATGCAGCAAAGGTTCTTCTACTGGGAGGAGGAAGAGGTTTTGGTTGTACTGTATTTCAAGGCATTGCAGCTTGGTTAAGAAGCTCTGACTGCAGGATGAAGACTGAGCTCAGAAGGAAACAGCCAATAATGCCTAATTGTTCATGGCACACGCTGTGGCCCCAGCTACAGTGAAACTTCAGGGTATGAAATGGTTTATGTGTGGGGTCTCCATGTAAAGGGACAAAATTGGGGGCAGGGAAGAGTGAGGTTACTGAGTGTTGAAAAACACTGAAGAGCAAGAGAGCTAGCAGCCAGCCTCTTGGAGGACACAAATTTGAAGAAGCCCTTTAGAAAATTAGGGGAGGTACTGTTTAAGCAAGCACTCTCCTCCTGAACAACCAAAACACAGTTTTCTGTGTAGTGGGTCCCCCCAGCCCATGCTCCCACCCCAAGAAAAGAATTAAGGGAATTTGATAGGTAAAGCAAAATCTAAAAAGATGGGCATGGGTGGGGGAAGGGCACTTGTGAAAAACCTTGTCATGCAATGCATGTCAGATAAAAAGGGGTCTGCCACAATCCTCCAGTAATCCAATAATGTGGAAAACCTCGTGGTATCACTGAGATGAAAACAAGGTAGTATTTCTCCATAAATCTTCAAAAAGTGACCAGGTTCAATAGAGAAAGTATGAGGACAAAAAGTAAACCATTTGGCAGGACACAGTACGAAACAGGGTGAGCCCTGAATGGGTGAAAACCTGTCATTCTTACATGTTTTAAATTCAGTAACAGATTTCTGGAGTATCATTTCCATTCTCATTAAAGGTCACTTTTAACCTTTTCTCTGGCTGTTACAGAAAACTGCATTCAGACCAACCAGACACAACCACATACACTTCCTTACATTTTAGCTCTCAATTTAGACACAGACTACATGCAAATGCTCATGAATTCATTGTAGCTGTAGGAAGAAAAAAATACATACAAATGCCCACCTATTTTTCCATTACATGCTCTTAAAAAAAAAAAAAAAACGCTATTAGAAACAAAACAATGCACTACTTTCAAACCCAAAAAAGGCTTACATTTTTCTTATAAAAGCATCCAAATACTGAAGGCATGAAGAGAATTGCACAGAAAGCTTAATCTGCCCAGTGTTCTTATTTGTAAAGGCACAGTATTTCTATTACTATCTTGTTTGTTCATTGACTTTTGGCTCACAGTTATAGAAAAGATCAACCAATTCTCAAATGGGAAGAATCCATGACTCTCTTCCAAAGCAAACATTTTGCTGCAAAGCTTTCAATTTAAGGGGAGAAAAAAAGCAATATAATAATCAAGAAGTATAATCACAGAATAAGTGTGCAACAAAAAGTGGTTTCTATAATCACAGCTGTCTTAAAGTCCAGGCTAGAGAGTAGAAATCTTAATTTCAAGTAGTTCTTTTCTTAATAATAGGTTACCTTCCTATAAAAGCAAGAAGTCCATCTGCCCCAGGCAGATAAGTTTTGAAGCATTAATTCAGATAAAAATCAAGCATTTTCTTTCTTTCTTTGAGTATGTGAATTCTAGTGTGCTATAATGTGAGAATTCCAACATATGACCATTATGGCATAATATCTCATTGCTCAGCTTGTCATTATTTCATTTGTAATTCTTATGTTAATTATGTTCATAATTACTATAAACAGATGTGGTAGACATTCATGTGACCTTTTATTGCAGAATGCATTCCTCAATCATTTGCTTTAATTTCTCTGAAACCGAAATGCAGAAAAAAGACTTTCTAGTTTTCTAATATTTTATATGCCTAAGTTAAAACCTACCTTCTACTTCATCTGCATTTCAAAATATTAGAATATTAACATTTAAGCTGCTTTACAGCACATTTTCCAATTGTACACTGAACCTCACTGCTGCTCACTAAACTGTAGCTATGGATGCCAAACAAAGGCTAGCATCCATATCTAAGTTGTTTGTCTTTTTTTTTAATATCAAAGGTTAATGCAGCAGAATTGTGCTTCAAAACCAAGCAAGTTACACAGCAATTTATTCACTCATAACTCAACCATCACCCTCTTTACATAAAACACATTTACAATAAAATCAGTATGGATTTCATTAGCTGAAAACCTCCTCGAATTTCATTTCTTTGGCCCTAATCTATAATTAGTGTGGACAGACAGGTGCAAACCCTTCTCTTCTACAGATGGCTACTGGAAATCGTGCAAAGTAGCTCCTTCTGTTTAAACAACACAGAGATAACCTGCTCTGTCTTATCACTTACAATTACCTCCATTAAACTGGACTAATGTTTGCTTTAATAAAATGTTCACTGTTCTTTAAACATTATTTAGGAACTCTTATATTAATGGCTGTAAAAAAGTGAAGTTGGAAGGTGTTGTTTTAGATAATAAGGAATAATTTATTCTGGATAAAATGTTCCCACTGATGGATAATACTCTGAGGTTCACAAAGGTGTTCTAGTTGATTTAACATTCATTCATTATTTTGCACAAATAGGGCCAAGTATGGTATTTTAAGAGGTATTTAGGTGACAAAATTTAACAAGTGGGGGGAAGCAGTATTTTTCCTGAAGTTTAGAAGTATGAAAGATATAATTTATTTTCTTATAGATTTTAACTTGTTAATGAAATATATATATATATAAATATATATACCTCTTGAAATCTTAGATTATTTTCAGCAGATACTTGTTAACCTAATTTTATGCATTTCTTTAACTTTTAATACATTACTCTGAAAGTGGTAGGGAGCCATCATTTTAAGGCACATGTAAAAAATTAACTATGATTGTAAATGCACTCCATAAGCACTTGATTAAAAATTACTCCATTCCATAATAACTTCTCTAAAGCCATCGAACATTATCAATATAGTCTGTGAATACTGTATGATGAAGATGTCCATAAAACAAAAAACTTTAAGTGGCCAAAAAGCAACAAATAGCTTTTCTCACTGAACTTACATAACTTACAGTAACAAGACTCCAGTAAAATGCAACTGACTAGTTTTTTTCACATGCAAATCCTGCAGGTGCCAATTTTTCAGACTGCTTTGCTATGAAGGACTATGTTGCCTACATAAAACCTCAATGAAGAACGCTTTGCATTCAGTGACTGTCAGCTGATGTTCATATCAAAGAAGTGAGAAACAGGATTTGACAGTGAAGGATGTTCGAAACTGACAACCACTGACCAGTATTCCTATTGGAAACATTTCTTTCTCATGATGCCTTTTCAATGTTTAAAAGGTGAAAAGAGTGGTTTTTTTTCTTTTGGCTTCTATTTTACAATAAAATAAATGATAATTGCACCTTACATTTGTATACTTCTTTGAAATTTATGAAATGGTCTTTTATCTGCAAATATTTATTCTAACACCCTAGATGAGAGAGCTCATCACCAAATACTGACATCAAGGGCAGTATTACACATTTGTTGAGAAAGGAAAAATTGTAAAAATATTAAAAAGCTGCAGTCCTCTAGCTGCAACACACACTGTCCTGCTATTTCCAGCAACATGCAATTTAACAGTACAGTTTACTTACATTTTATTGCAGGTAGAATGCTTTTAATTAGGATGGTCCTTTAAGGACCATTTTAAAAATCAAATTATTAGCAGGTATTAGTGAGTGAGAGACTAAGTCTACAAAGGAAATATGAATTCAAAGACTTCTGGTCTGCTTTGAGTTGTCCAAACATGTAAGAAAAAACAGACTGTTTTCTCCTTTGCTCTTACTAGGTATGAAGTGGACACTGGAGAAACTTCATACTCAAATTCTCCCACTCAATATTATGCTTTTCAAATAAAGTGACTGATGTCTACGTGGTAAAATTAATGCTTAATTAAGCAGAGACTTTTGACATAAAGTTCTTCTCTTAATACAATCTTAGATAATGTCAGTTTTTTATTCACCCAGAAGTAGCCTGATTCCTTGGTTATTTGGTTG